ATGTTTGAATTTGACATGAATTTAACTTGTATACACACACACACACACACACGTGTGTGTGTGTGTGTGTGCATATATATGCAAACTGTTTCATGTGTCATATATTGTTGTAAATATTAATATTATTTATTCAGCATGGATGAATTAATTTGATTAGAAGTGATATTTAAGACTTGCATTTTTACAAATAAATGTTGAAATTTCCATTCATTAAAGAACCCTGAAAAAATGTATTATGGGTTTTCACAACAATTTTAAGCAGCACGTGTTTTTAACATTGATAATACTAAGAAATATCTTTAGCATCAACATATTATCATGTAACATTGGAAACTGGAGCAATGGCTGCTGAAAATTCAGCTTTGCCGTGACAGAAATAAATATTTTTTTAAATATATATAAATGGTAATCATAAAACTTTATAATACTATAAAATTCTACTATTTAATCAAATAAATTCAGCTTAAGGGCCATATGATGTTTGAATTTGACATGAATTTAACTTGTATACACACACACACACACACACGTGTGTGTGTGTGTGTGTGTGTGCATATATATGCAAACTGTTTCATGTGTCATATTGTTGTAAATATTAATATTAACTGATTTATTAAGCATTATTTGATATTTATTAATGGCTTGACAGAAATGATTATTAAGCGTTGCTAGGATTTAATCAATATAATGCATTAAATATAATACAAAAACTGGGAAACAAAATACAATGTAAGGTAATTTTACGACAGTATAATAATATGACAGTACGTCAAAATGACCTCAAAACAAACAAAAGCTGTATATTGATTCTGATTGTATTAAGTGTGTAAAGTGTATTTGTGTGAGTGAGAGTTTAAAAGTGAGAGTGGACTGATTTTCAAAGTGTGAATTCATGGCTCCCTCACACCCCTCTGTCCTCTCCGCAGGAAATCATGCACGCCCTGAAGATGACCTACCACGTACAGTGCTTCCTGTGTGCTGCCTGCAAAATGCCCATCAGGAACCAGGCCTTCTACATGGAGGAGGGAGAGCCCTACTGCGAGAGAGGTGAGCGACCGCGGCCCCTCTCGCACGCCCGGCCGCACATCTTATCGACAGCCCCTGCCGAGAGCCGAGCGCGGGCTCCTGCAGTGTTTAATCATTCAAATGCTGCCACTTCACTTCAGACATCAAACCTGCTCCATACCGGCCCTGCACATTGATTAGGAGCTTTGCTGAGAATTTTTATGCTTGAGAATGTACTTCAAATATGCCAGTGGTAGAAAGTGCTCAATGAAACCATAAATACTGTTCTTTTCTTTTTTTCCACTTTTTTGTTTATTCAAATTAGATTGAAATCAGAAGACAGATTCAAACTCATGTTGACTATATAAGCACCCCACCTCAAAGTCCACTTTTTACTAACCTATTTGACACTTACATTTATAGGAATGATAAGAAATACAATTTAATGATAAGGCATCGAGAACATTGCAAGCCTGCTTTGAACACGCATTTTATTTTATTTAATTTATTATTATATTTTTTTTCATAGGACTCAGGACGCCTATAACGCAACAGCGTTATATGTCGAGGCTTATCGGCGCCTTAACTTAACGTAACTTAACACTTTCTATTTATGGGAATAGTGAGGTTTATGAAAGGAAATTGTTGGAAGGAGGAGTGGGAAGCATTGGATTCAAACCTGTTTTGCAAACATTTTAATTTAATTTAATTTAATTTGTTTTTTCTTTTCTTTTTGCTAGTGAGACTAGTGAGAATTATGATAAGAAGTTATTGGGAGGAGTGGGAAACATTAGATTGAAACCAGTGTTTTGCCAGTGTTTATTTTCTTTTTGCCACTTTCATTTAATGGACTAGTGAGCTTTAGAAAAATAAATTATTGGGAAGAAGAATGAGAAGCATTAGATTCAAACAGCTCTAAGTGTCAGAATTTGTGTGCTACAGACTAGGCCACGGCCCTTACCGCAGTTCTTTTATTTTGGATATGTTGACACTTTTATAGGACCAATTAGTCAGAGGTTAGCAAACAGGTGGGAGAAGGGGTTCAGAACCGTTGTGGATCAGATTAAATTGATTTGAATTCAGTCATGAAATTTGCCATGTTAAGCTTTTCTTGTTCATTCATTTAGTTTCCTGAGTGGTAAAAAGTTGTTAAATTCAGCCACCTTCTGTGTTTAATTTATATTTATGCAGTGCACTTAATCACATTGTCACATTTGTTGCGCCCCTAATCTTACATAAACAGACATTAAGCTATCTGAAGGGAGTGCATGTCTTTATTATGTAAATAGGCTTGCATTGCAGTTCCGGAGCTTTACAGATTTTAAGAGTTTTGGTCTTGTGTCAGCAGCGAGTGGGCAGCTGTTTCTGTTAGAAATGAAGAGCTAGTGTTGATAAAATTGCTGCAGTCTCAGCACCTTAAAAGGATTGTGCTCTAAACTACTTACCTTGCGTACGGGACGTAAAGCCTGCCACTTTTAAGTTTTCCGTAATGGGTAAAACTAGGGCAATCAATGTAAGAATCTGGACCAGTGTCTGTTATCACACACCGAGCATGTGAGGGCTGAGAAAATATAATCCCTTTTCTTTTTCCTTCCGATAACCCGTTTCTTTCTTGTCTCGTTCTCTTCGTTTCTGACCAAGCATTTCCTTCTCGCTGTCTTAATAGGCCCGTTTTGGTTGGCTTGTTTTTCTCTGCAGACTACGAAAAGATGTTTGGTACCAAATGCCATGGCTGTGACTTCAAGATTGATGCAGGAGACCGTTTCCTTGAGGCGCTGGGCTACAGCTGGCATGACACTTGCTTTGTCTGTGCCGTAAGTCATTTTGATGCATTGGGACCTGTCCCAAAACTCCATCTTAAACTTTCTGCACCACACAACACTATCAAGAAATGGTCCCATAGCTCCTGAGAACCTAGACATTTCCCTTCAAAATTCATACACTGGCCATGTTTGCATGCTCTGGATTAATGCCTTTAATTAATGTGGTTCACAGCTTTTAGAATATTCTTCTTTCTTATTTATAATCCAGATAAACGAAGACATTCGTTTTATTTTCTCTTATGGAAATGCTGGATAAGCTCTTGTCATTTATTTCATTTTTTAGGAATTTAAGCAGTTCATTAATTTTCATTCATGCCCCTCGCACACAAGAACACAATAAATAGCAAAATTGTGTGGTACTTTTACTCGCCTGTCTGCTGATTTAAGTTCACCTCTTTAATCTTTATGTCTCCAAAAATGGAGCTCTTCTTTGAGAGCTTGGCAGTCTGTGTCAGATAGCAATTACTTTCATTTTGACATGCACTGATATTAACAGTGAATATACCCCATAAATTATATTCACATGACAGGCATTAATACAGGCATTCACTACCATTCAAAGGCTTGTGTTGGTAATATTTTTTTTATGTTTTTGAAAGTCTCTTATGCTCACTAAGGCTGCATGTATCTGATCAAAAATACAGTAAAAACACTAATATTGTTGGACATTATTATGGTTTAAATATATTTTTATATATTTTAAAATGTCTTTTATTCCTGTGATGACAAAGCCAAGTTTTCAGCAGCCATTACTCCAGTCTTCAGTGTCACTTTAAAACAGTTGTGCTGCATCGTACTTTCGTGGAACCAGTGATACTATTTTTCATGAATGTTTAATGAAGAGAAATTTCAAAAAGAACAGCATTTATTCAAAATGGAATTATCACATTCAAATATATAATAAAAAACATAAATGTCATTAGTGTCACTCAATTCCTTGCTGAATGAAAGTATCCATTTCATTCAAAAAATAAAAAATATGAAACAGTTAATGGCACATCCTGCACTCCAAACTTGTATCCAATTATAAATGCTCTCTGGAATGCTTATGTTTCTCCCCCTAATATTATTGGCTTCAAGCAAGTAGCAAATTATACTAGTTCACAGCTGTAGAAAAGTGCTGTTAAACAGTCATGATTGATGATACTGTTTAATCCTCCTTTTTTATCTCCTCAGATCTGTCAAATCAATCTGGAGGGGAAGACGTTCTTTTCAAAGAAGGACAAGCCACTATGTAAAACTCACGCTTTCTCTCCGGTGTGAGGCTCCGCCGTTCGTCAAGGAGGGGCCAGAACAGAGACTGGGGGGGGGTCTATAGCTATGCCAAACAAGACCAAGTACTTTACTTGAAGCCTGTAACATATGGCTGACTGAAAGAGTGATGGATATAGTAGCTCCGCTGGCTGTTATAGCAGCTTCGATCAGCATTTACTAAGTATGTGTCATTCAGCAAAGCACGGACCTGAATTTTTGGTAGCTTGCTATAGTAAGCCGACAGACTGGCCTCAGTTTTGCTGTGTTACGATGCCAGTCATTCAACTGGAAACAGCTTGTGAACTCTTACAACCACCGATGCCAGATGTCAGAATGGATAACAAGCTATTTGGATGAAGTATTTTAGCTGTGCCTCCTCATCCCACTCCACCTCCAAAAGTACACCTGCAGTATTCGTCAATCCAAAGAACATAGTACGCTCTTATACTGCTCACTTTAATTTCACTTTTTAGATATCCGTATTCGTCAATTTGGCATCTGAGTGAATCTCACAAAACATGTCGTGTTCACATTACACCACATTTTATATTGCATAAAGAACATGGCTTAACCTTATGTAAGAATATGATTTTTTTTGTGACTATTACCTTGACAGCTGAGCACATTTCCCTCCAAATGCCATTCTAATTACTCTAATGCAAAAATAAATAAAAATGTGTATTTATACATCATAATAGTATTTGTTGTACTGCCTTTAGGCTGATTTTAATACAGTAAACTGATTATATATAAAATAAAAAAATATAAAATATAATAAAATATATATAGTAAAATATCACCAATAAAAAAAATAAAGGGAATTACAAAAAATAAAATGTGATTAGCATGAAAATATTGTCACACTAAAAAAAAAACAAAAAAACAATTTTGTAATTTTATTGTAAAATGTGAAAAAAATTTTTTGTGAGGTTTGCTCATCTCATCTGCACTAGGATGCATATTTATCATCCAAAATTTTATCCACTCTTGTCACAAATACGGACAAAGCATTTCCCATGTAATAAGTGAAGCAATCTAGTTGTATTCTGATTCATACAATCCATTTTGTAGGCTAAAGCATTGAGCATGTGATCTACTCAGACAGGATCTTAAAGTGGCCCCTCAATCCTCTAGATGCTGTGCAGCCTACTTTTTTGCTCTGCCTGATTTGCTGTGCCAGGGTACTTAAGGTAATGGCAAACCACAGAGGAATAAAACGCCCCTGGCAGCTACACTGAAATACATTAGCACTGATTGCATGCGTTTCATCCTGACCCAAGCAATGGTCTCTACATGGCTTCAGTACTAAATACGCCACATTCATCTGTTCTAATCAGACAGGTAGTTCTAATTAAGGAAAGGCCTGTAACGCTCTGCATTAGTGCTAATGGATCCTGCAATATTATATGGCCAGATTCACTTAGAGCCTTTGTTCGTATATGCTGTGTTATTTAAAGCTCTGTGGCCATTTTGTTGGTTTCCGCACGCTAGTGAGCAAAGCGCATGTGTGCCAAAGGTTTTGAGCAATCCTGTTTATGGATATCACCGATATATGCATAATCTTATGGCATTTCCAAACATAATGGCTCTTCTTCAGAGACTACATACCAGATGCACCAATCTCCTGCACTCGAATCAGAAGAAATGCAACACTCCAATATCCTGCTCTTAGAAAGCTATATATATTTGAGCCAACAGCTCACTTTTTGTACTTTTTTGTATTGACAACGTGTTACGTATCAACTATCAAGTGCCTTTATCGCTTTGCAGCCTTTAACTATTGTGTGTGTCATTCAGAACGATAAACTGCTGTATTCCTGTGCATATTATAGAGAGGTTTTCTATGTCAGATGACGCAAATTATTTAGAAAGAAATTGTGCTAGAGACATTTAGTCAATAAATCACATGCAGTCATGTTGTTGTGTGCTGACTTACTGAATGATACGAATGGTGGTGAAATTGGGTTATTCCCAAGGCTACTAATTGGCTCCAAATGTAAAATGTGTCATGAAGTATTGTAGATGTTGTAAGCACAAATCACTCAACTCTCTTTTAACAATATATAATTTATTTACATCCATTTTAGGTTCAATTACTATACATACCTTTTCTGAAATTTCATAGAGAGATATATACATAAGGCCAAGTAAATACTTGAAAGCACTTAGAAACGAATTTCCAAAATTCTACCCACAAATCCATACCATTGTCCAAAAAGTACAGAAAACCTTCTGCAGAAGAGGGCTTTCTATTACCACAAACTCATCGACGACAATTTACATTGACGAGAAAAATGAAAAGTAACTTTACCAAAAAAAAAGAATAATAGAAAAGAATTGTACAATTGCATAAGCGCTGTGGCATGTAATAAATACAGCATTTTGACTTGCAGAAAGGCAAGGAACATTGAATTAAGAAATCGAATTGAACATTCACAGGTACACAATTCTACGGTTTTCAGTTCAAAAAGAAAGAAATAGCGCACTCACTCTGAACATTCATTTACACAGAACAGCTATGAATGAGGCTGACAAAATGTACAGTCATAAAGAGAGATCGGTGGTTCTTTTAGTGAATATCATGGCATCTGCTTTATTCAGTGTTGCAAGCTGACTTTGTGAGCTCAGAACGAATGATTTTTATGTCAGTGAAAAAGAACAACATTGATGAGCAATCCGTTGCGCACTCAGTAATGTTTAGAAATGCGTAACGTGTCTGTTTCAACTGAACTGTTTGTAAACCTGAGTGTTAGGAATTTGTCAATTTTGCACCAAGTCCTTGTCTAAATACTCTGACAGAAGTATCATTTACTGGTGCATCTGTTTTCTCATGACGTAGTGTTGAGGATCGATTACCCATAAACCAACAGCCTCAGGACGAAACAAAATGACGGTGTACAAACTTATGGCGAAAACAGTCTAAACCGCAAACACTGCAGAAAGAATTAACTCAGTGCTATATAACCAATGAACAGTAGGCAAACACTTCACAGATTATACTTTGACAAATGTTACGTCAGTTGACTTGTCTTTTTTGGCTTGTTATTAAAATTTCATTTACAATTACTTTACAAAGTGCTGTATATTTAAATTGTTTTACCAGTGGAATGCTCAAAATGAACAAGTTTGCACAAGTCATGAGATCTTGAAAGAAAAATAGATGCATGTTGAAAGCAGGAACGTGTTACTACGTGTACTCCCAAAAAATTAAATCACAATCGGCATAGATATTAAAGAAATGCTCCAGATGGCTCATACACTTTGGTTGCGCAGAGATGCATCACATGAAATGTACTGATCTACAAGACATGATGACTTTTGTAGATTAAAAACAAAGAAAAGAAAATAGCTGACTGGTTGATTGTGTAACAGAAATCACCAAGTGAAACCTTAAGGAAGGTAAAAAAGACATTGTGTGCACAATTTGGTCTAACTTGAGTTCTCTGTTAGCTGAGTGAAACAGGCCTGTGTAATTCCACTTGCTGTGGAGAGAACGTGCAGGACTCCTCCAATCATCTCCAGACGTGGCTGTCATTACTGGTCGAGATGAAAGCGGAAAATTTGTGATCCACAATTTCTCACCAATCATCCTTCATTTGGAATGAAATACTCTCACATTCAAACACGCACGAAAAAATAATCTGACAATCTTCAAACTGTGTAATGCACATTCACGGCGCCAAACGCAGGGCTGAGACGTGTTGCCGTTCTACAGGGTCTGACAGTTATGCAGAAACAAAGCACACGTGTGATGGAGGAATTTAGAAAAATACGACAGCTGCTGAGTGTCGATGAAGTTTTCTTGGATGGATCATTTGCTTTTTGGGGGGTGATGAAAATATTCTCTGTCCTACGACTAAGAAACTGCCCTGAAGCCAAAATGGCTTTCAGAGAAACATAGACTCATTAAATATGAAGGAGAATAGCAATGAAACATTTGGTAGTATTGCATTTTCTGTTTATAAAAGAAGAAAACCTTTCCAACGGGGAACTTTTTTTTTTTTCCTCCTTCGTAAAAGAGGAATTTTATGGACTCAGATGAGAATTCTAGTCTCGAAAAGGTTCCATTGACATAAGACAGCCATGGAAAAAATGCTTTGCAGAACTTCTGACCCTTATTCTCAAAAGTCCAATGTTCTTCAAAACAGCTAGGAAAACGTTTGAGGTCCCTGATCACCCATCCTTCAGCAGCAAGACATCCACAGAATCCTGTGCTTATTTACTGATTATCCACCCGGATCAGAACATATATCATTGCATTGAGGTGAATTTTGGACTTTATGGCTTCATGAACACACACGTTAAGTGCACAGGGGCAGAGGAACAAGTAGTGGCTCTCACCAAAAATACTTTACTTCCTTAATGTTTTCGCCCTGAAATTTAGCAAACGCTCTAAAATTGTAAATGCTTTGTGAGGTAAGAAACGTGTCGGCCAAAGGAAATTGTCATCGATATGCGTGTTTGCATATTGCTAAATGGTACACATTTACAAAATGCATGTCACAAATCAGAATAAGTTCGCAAAATATTCACCTTACCTACATAGCGTACGTCTTTCAAACCGATTCGTTTTTAGTTTCCAGTCTGATATTAATATATCAATGTGCCTAACACAAATGTGGTTAGAAAGTACATATTGGTCAGTGATTGAGGGCAGGACCAGAATCATAGAATCTGGGATTTTCTATACACCATTATTTTCAAAACAAATGGATTTTTGTTCTGAGAAAGAGGCATTTGCCTCAGTCACAGCACATCTAAAAGCCCTGCCAGGTTCCTCCTGAGCCTGGTCTTGTTTTATTTTTTTTCGTTCTTTTTCTTTTATTCCCTGTTCACTGGGGAAGTGGCCTCATATAGTTGGGTAAACCCTGTTCTTTTATTTGTTTCTCATCTATGGTGGGGCGGGCAGAGGGTCGCGTCCTTCCCCCACCCCATCACTCAGAGTTTTAATGTGTCAGCACTCCCCGTCTGACACCAGGAATATCATGGCCTCCTGCTTGCCAATCTCAGCCATCACAGCGGCGAGCTGATTGAGATTACCGCTGTGGAAGTGCTGGGTCTCCCATAAGTCCAGAATCACTGATGTGGGGCTCGCTTTGGATGCAAAGAAACTCATGTGCCTGGGGAGGAAAACAGAAATTGTCAGTCCTATTGCAGTCTGGATAGACAGAGTGAGTCTTATATCATCTTAAAAAGCCTTGCAGTTTATGTCTGACTTTGAAGCATCATAACATATGCATATTATTATATTGCAAAACTAGAAAAAAAAAGATTATTGATGCACAGAGTCTCAAGTTTACATTTAATTTGCCTTCATACATTTAGCTGAACTTCAGTGTCTTTAGCTTTGATTGAAGTTAATATTAGATTTGTTGACAAAAATTAGATTGAAAGTATTTGTCCATCAAAATTAGTTTGAGATTACACAATAGTTGGGAAAAAACTAACAATGAACAATATATTTTTGCAGCATTAACTAACTTTTGTTAATGCTACTTATAGGGTTATATATAGGGTAACCTAACCCTAACTCATATTCATGTTAGTTCACAGTGCATTAACTAATGCCAATGTAAACAGAATTTTTTATCTTAAAAAATGTGTTAGGAGATGTTTGGATTAACATTAGATAAGATACATAAATGCTTTAGAGGTATTGTTCATTGTTAGTTCATGTTAACCTATGTTACTCATTAGTTAATACTAATGCTAACAAATTAAACATTATTGTAATTATAGTGCTAATGAGACAGTGCCTTTAAATTGCAAAATAATAGCATGATAGCATTTGTTGCACTAAATCGAATATACAAAAAAATAAACACCAAAAATAAATGAATAAATATGCTTGTTGTCTTTATGCAAATCACACACTATCTCTCTCTCACACACACACACACACACACACACACACACTCTCACACACACACACACACACACACTCTCTCA